GCGGAGTGCTGTGCGAAACCAATGGTTACTCTTGACAACTATTTGCTAGAGCCTTCAGGCTTTTTTAACACTTAGTTTTTACACCTTTCATCGTGACAGTACCTAGAAAACGCCATTCTCTTGGCCCACTTTTTAATGTACTCCCTTTTCTGACCGAACTTGCTAAGACCTATTAAGGCTCTGGGGTGGTTTTCTATATATTGGTTGGCTTTTTGGTGCCAATCGTAAGCAGAAGAAGGCATCTTTTAAGTCTAGACAGGTAAACCACTCTGCCTCAGGGGAAGCTGACTCAAGAGGGTATATGGGTTAAGGACCACCGGGTGTAGAGTGATTGTAGCACTGTTAACTGCTCTCAGGTCCTGTACTGGGCAGTACCCTCCCCCGCCAGATTTCTTTACCAGCAACAAGGGAGTGTTCCAAGGAGACTGGTATTCGACTAAGATCGCCTCCTTTCTGAGTCACGAAATGTGCTCCTGGTTTCGGAGCTGGGCCTTTCAGGGTATCATGTATTGTCTCTGCCTCACTGGAAGGGCCCCAGGCTTTAAGTCAATTATCAGTGGTGCATGGGCCTTAGCCATTCCCAGAGGGTTTGTCTCCTCCCATGCTGCAGGGAAGGCATTCAGTAATTCCAGTGGGTTTTTCTCTGACTCCAACAGTGTGCAGCTTCCACTCATCTTCATGTGGGAGTGTGACTGTCAGAACCAGACCTTTCCTGGGCCAGCCTAAAGTCAGGCTTGCTGATCCCCCTTGTTCAGTTTTCTTAGTTTCTCCCTAGGAGGGGTACGGGACATTCCAGGAGGTAGAGGAACTCATGACATATCTGGTGACCCCCTAGTTGGCATATCTGGGTTTGACTGAATGGTTGGGGCTCCACTTGATTTCTTTCTTTTTTTTTTTTTTTGGGACGGAGTTTCACTCTTGTTACCCAGGCTGGAGTGCAATGGCGCGATCTCGGCTCACCGCAACCTCCGCCTCCTGGGTTCAGGCAATTCTCCTGCCTCAACCTCCTGAGTAGCTGGGATTACAGGCACGCGCCACCATGCCCAGCTAATGTTTTGTATTTTTAGTAGAGATGGGGTTTCACCATGTTGACCAGGATGGTCTCGATCTCTTGACCTCATGATCCACCCACCTCGGCCTCCCAAAGTGCTGGGATTACAGGCTTGAGCCACCGTGCCCGGCTCCACTTGATTTCTTGTTGCTCCAATTATGGAGGCCTTTTTGTCGCCAAATGGGGCGACCGGGGTGGTAACAACCTAATACTCTGCACCGGTGTCCACCATAAGTCATTAGGTGGCCCCCCGACTTTCATTTTGACCATGGGCTCACGTGGCCAAGTTTTATGGAGCCCGGCCTGTCCTACTCTGAATCCATGCCAAACAAGCGGATCAGGTGGGCTTCGTTAGGCTCTGGCTGGTACTTCACCACCCTTAGGCACACTGGTCAGCCTGCAAGATGGGGGGGCGGCACTCAGGCTTCCCCCCTTTACAAGGGGGACCTGGTCTTCGGGTGGGACTGGCCGGCTGAAAGCTGCTGCCAGGAGGGTGACTCTGTTTCATCCGCTTCTCTGCCTCCGTCTGTGCCTGCAGATCTCGGTTAACATAAACTTTGCTGGTGACTTCCAGCAGTTGGGTGGCATTCATTCCTGCAAAACCCTCCACTTTCAGTAGCCTCTGTCAAATGTCTGGAGCTGACTGGGCGACAGAGGCAGTGTTGACCATCCGCACTTTTTCTGGCACCTCTGGGTTAAACAGACTGTATATCCAGAAGGCCTCCCAAAATCGCTCACAGAAGTCACCGGGGACTCATCTGGCTTTTGAGTGAGTGCTGCGGTTTTTGACATGTTGGTCGGCTCCCTTGCCCCTTCCCAGACTCCTCTGAGGAGAGCCTCGCGGTGGCATTGAAGGGAGACCCTCCCTGCCTCACTATTAAAGTCCCAATTTGGCTTAATATCCGGCAATGCTTCTACTGCCCATCAGCCTGTCAAGGGCTCTCACTGGGGCCTGCCCTTCAAACCACTTTTGTGCCTCGGTTAAAATAATGTCTCCCCTCCTCTGTATTGAAGAGTGTGAGGAAGAGCTGGTGGCAGTCATCCCAAGTGGACTGATGCATCTGGAAGATGGATTCCAGAAGGTCAATTAGGGCTTGGGGCTTCTCCAAATATGCCGAAGTATGGTGTTTCCTGTTCAGGAGGTCTGTGATACTGAAGGGTTGGTAATAGAGAATGGGCCTCCCAGGGTCAATTGTCCCATCATCCGTTACTGTGGAGGGGCCTCGAATCTCCCATAGAGGCATTTGAAGGGCCGGTTGAGAAGACCATAAGCCTCTGGCAAGGGGAGTCCCAGGGCACTGGGGCTCTGGGCTGGCTGCGCTGGCCTCCGCAGTTTCCACCAACATGGGGGTGTCTCAGGCAAGCTCAGGGGAGTGGGGGCCGATGGGGTTGTGGGGGGGGGGGGATGTAGGGTGGTGGTGGAAGCTCCTCCTCAGGGTTGCCTTGGTGGATGGGTTTTCTGGGTCCTTTGGTAAATTGAGCCACGAAAACCTCACATTGTCCCTTTCTAACCGTGCAGAATCGAACTCAGGATGGAAGAGGCTGAGCTACTTCTAACCAGGAGTCAATGTAAGGGAATTGATCTGGGTGTCCAGGACTGCCAGTAACAGCTTTCCAAACAGCTCTTACTGTGGGGAACATCTAAGGTCCCCTCAGATGGCCAGCCAACATTGAATGTTAGCCATTCCACCTCACAAATGGTTTTTAGTTTCCCTGGAGTCATTTTTACCCCAGAATCTCCACAGAAGCCCTTCCTGAAGTTTTTGATCATACAGTCTAGGACGGTGGGTTTTGATTGGCCCTTCCCCATGGCTTATGTCCTCTCCTTGACCCGCGGCATGAGACAGTCTGAGGGGAGGGGTTGTCTTGTTAGGGACCACTCAGGTGCCCACCTGGCTGTGTCCCTCGTGGGAACTTTAGGAGCCTCTTAGCATTGGCAGGCAGGACTGGGCTTGAGCATGGCCCGATGCTGTAAGCCTTATGAGGTCACCACAGAATTGCAAGTGAGGGCCCACTTGCAATTTTCACAGTGGAGCCACAGACTGGAAAATCAAGGACAAGCCTTTGAATTCCACATTCACTCACTCACACAGAATTTATTACATTTCCTCCCTAGCCCGGAGAGTCTACGTGTGGTCTCCCTGTGGAGACCCTGGGTGGTGATCAGGCTCCCCTTCCATCTGGAGATGGGCCTGCCTAGGGTGGGGTCCTGGGACCTTACCTTGTCCATGGTCTTCTGTTGTTCAGTCCATCCCCTCCACGAGTGGGCGGCAGCACCGGGAGGGTGGATCACCTGAGGTCATGAGTTTGAGACCAGCCTGGCCAACATGGTGAAACCGTGTCTCTACTAAAAATTAGCTGGCATGGTGGCCAGTGCCTGTAATCCCAGCTACTTGGGAGGCTGAGTTTGCAGTGAGCCAAGACTGCACCACTGCACTCCAGCCTGGGGAACAAGAGCAAAACCCAGTCTTAAAAAAAAAAAAAAAAAAAAACATACGTAAAGAGATTTGAACCTAGGCTCAACATTATGCTGCCGTTAGAAGGGGACTGTAAGCCACTTACTTGAATGCTATATATAAATCCAACTCAATAGTGCAATTACTGCTATCAAACTGAATTGCACCTGACTAGACCATAATGATGAGAACCAAGGTGGACTTTACAGAATGGAGAAGCAGAGGCAGTTAGGCAAGTTCACAGGCAATGCACAATGTAGTTCTGAGGTTACAGGGCCATTACGGGATGCTGAAGAAAGTCAAGGGCATTTAGGAAGGGCTGATGGTGGTCAGAGAAAAGTCAGGTTAAGAGCAGCAAAGTATAAGGAAATAGGGAGCATTCCAGTTAAACAATCAGCACCCTGAAGGCCAGAGGCAAGTTAACATTTTACAGTAATTTGAAAACCACCTCTCCACCACTACATACAGACATGTCCTTCTCCCATTAAGGGCACTTCTCTACAGCTTCACTTTGCTTCTCCAAACCCTGAAACACAAGTTTGGGCCTTTGCACTTGTTTACCATGTCTTCCTAGAGTGCTCTTCCATCAACTATATATAAGGCCATGGCATCTCCCTCAGTTCTTCCTCGTTGAGTGAGGCCTCCCTTGCTGGCCATGTTCTTAAATGCCTCCCATTCACTGCAAACACATGCACTGTCTCTTTTCTTCTCCCTTCCTCCCTTAGCAATTATGGCTAGTTAACACTTTTATATTTTTTGTACTAGTCTGTGCTCACATTGCTATGAAGAACTGAGACCGGGCTATGTATAAAGTAAAGGTTTAATTGTCTCATGGTTCCGTAGGCTATACAGGGAGCATGGCTGTGGAGGCTTCAGGAAACTTATCATGAGGGATAACTAAGAGGATGCACATGGTCAGAGCAGGAGGAAGTAGGGGGAGGTGCTACACATTTAATCTGAACTCTTTCTTCTGCCTCTGCCTTGAGACATGTTGCACAATTGCATAACCTTTACTTTCATTAGTTTTTGAGGCAGGGTCTCACTGTCACTTAGGCAGGAGTGCAGCCGCAAAATCATGGCTCACCGCTGCCTTGACCACCTGGGCTCAAGCAATCCTGTCTCGTTTTTTGCAGAGACAAGGTTTTACTATACTGCCCAAGATAGTCTTCAACTCCTGGCCTCAAGTGATCCTCCCACCCTGGCCTTCAAAATTACTGGGATTACAGGGATGAGACACTGCCCCAGACGCACTTCACATCTAAATTACATCTTGTGAGAAATCGCTATCACAAAAACAGCAAAAAGGAAACCCACCCTTTTGATCCTATCACGTCCCACCAGGGCCCTCCTCCAACACTGGGGATTACAATTCAATATTATATCTAAACTTATGAGCAATTACCTAGACTTATGAGGGTAGACTTTGCAATAGGGAATGTAAAAGTTTAGATAAAAGGCAAGAACAATGCTATGAATTAAGAATGACTCCAAGATAAATATTAAATACTTTCATTTAGAAGTTCTGGAGAATGAGTCACTTCTAACTGACAGAGTAATGAGACCTCAATTGCTAGACAGGCAGCAGACTGGTTAATAGGAGTGAACTTGCTTGACTGTTTCCTCCCACATGAAAACTTTTCATCACCTCCAAAACTTTCATATTCTAAGAATGTAGCACCACTGTGTCCTTTTAAATCCCCTTACACTTCCTTATGCTACACACACACACACACACACACACACACAAACATAATATGCTGACACATACTCTCTTTTGTGCCCAATTTTGTGAACCTTCTTAGGTTCAATGCAATGAATACAAAGAGCTTATATTCTTAACTGCTCTACCGTGGTCCTTTCCTAGTTTGCTTAAATTCTTTTAACTGTTACACCAAGACACCAAATCTCAAGAGACAAGTGACTTTCCAGAAGTCACGTGACGCCTCTCATTCGGAGATACTCACATTCTATGAAACTTGATTTATCCCAATCCATTTCTTTACATGTGAAATCGGAGAACAAAATCAACCTCCGAATTATGAGAATTAAATTAAAAGATGAGCATGAAACACCCTGTTGCCACCAGCCTTGTCCCTGCTCTAGCTCCTGTGGCACTGCATGGACACGTGGTTGCTACAACTTAGTACTCCTATTAGAGGCATTTTCTTATTGTAACTGAAGGGATAGTTGGTCTAAATCAATTGAAATACCAGCATCAGGACATCCCAGCTTCAATGGCTTGTACCTGTAGTTGTCAACCTATAGAAAGAAAAGTTTTAAAATGACGTTTTAAAAACAACTGAAATGTATCGCTTGTTTTATAAACTGTGTGAAGAAAATTATAGAGGCGCTCAGTTGTAACAAAATTTTTTCTGGTTCAGGTGTGACTCCAGACAGGATCCAAAGAGGAGATTTTCAGTCTCTTCTCTGGGTTTTATGGAGACTTACTTTACCCTTCTGTGTTAGCCTCTTAAAGCACTGGGTCAACCTTAAAAGGGCACAGGAAAGGGCACTTTGGGATTTTTTTTTTCCCCTTTCATTTTTACAGAGTTCACTACTATTTCCCGCATTGTTTTCAGTACCCCGTGGATCTCTGCTTCTCTAAGTCTGAAACCACCACTAGAAACAGCTGTTTCGTTTGGTGAGCCCCCTGCACGGATGTTTCCTTCCAGATAAGGAGAGCCAGATTCGGGCCCTGACGATAAATACTGGCCACGTGCTCGGGGCTGGGTCATTTCATCCCACTTAGGAACACACCTTTGCTATTTATGAGGCCGCCGCACTTCCGCAGACGTAGGAGAGACGAACTCCTGGAGCTCAAGGTCGGCCGGGCTTGGGTTCCTGCCGCCGCACATGTGGCCCACCTGAGATCTGCTACAAAGTAGTGGCGCGTCCGCCCTGGGGAAGCAAAGCGAAAAACTCTTCTGGTGCCCAGACCTGCCCGGAAACCTCCGGCTGCTCCGCTGGGCGCGGCGCCTGTGCCTCGCGCGGGCCCGAGACGGGCACGGCCGCCCGCCCCCTGCGCCGCCGAGGACTGCTCTACCCCTCCGTTCTGGCCGCCGGGAGCAGAGGAGCTCGGGGCGGGCAAAGCTCGAGGGGACGCGGGGCGACCCCAGCCCCTCACCGGGCCCGCGGGCCGACCGGGCGCCCTCCCCGCCCGAGACCGAAAGCCGAAGGTTGGAGACCCACTCACCGCACAACTCCAGCGGACAAAGAGGCCGGAGACCTGCACCAGGCGCACAAACCGGAGAGGCGGCGCGGGGCGGGGCGGAAAGGGGAGGGCTGCGGGGCGCGCAGCCAATCCCGGGAAGATCTGGGCGAGGGCGGGGCACGCAGCCCATCCCTGGAGAGGTCGCGGAGCTCAGCCAATCCCGGGAAGACTCTAGGCGGGGCGGGGTGAAGGGCCGCGGCACGCACAGCCAATCCCGGAAATCTTGGGCGAAGGGGGGGAGGAGTTTGGGGGGCCGGGCCGGGCCTTTGGCTATCGGTGTCCGGGGCCGGCCTAGGTCTGGCTCCTTCAGTGGCGCCTGGACCTGTCAACTCTTTGCGGAACATCCTCGGAATCAGATTCGTCAGGCTCCCCACCAGTCCTCGCGTTGGTGATTCTGGTGTTCTCAGGCTCTCCTCGGGTTCTCTTCTGGGGAGGCCATCGCGGTTACTCCAGGGCCGCACTACGGTCCTGAGACCCTTTCCTAAAGCCATACTCATCCGGTGTGTGTTCATAATCTGTGCCCGCCTAAACTGTAACCTTAAAGAGAAACCACGACCATGTCTTGTTCAACGAGCTCACTCCCATGGCCCCTCCTAAAGCTAAAGGGACTGCCTCCTTTCCTCATGCTCCCTCTTTATTCATTTATGCAGTGTCCAGTAAGTAGACCATAATCAGCTGGAGGTGGGAGTGGGGGAGGGTGAGAAGGCAACCATAGCAATCTCAAAGTAACAGGCTCAAACTTGGCAAACAAATAAGTAGAATAAAATTGGAGTATATGCTAAAAGGAGAACTTCTATTACTGTTTCATGTACTTACCATCTGCTAACAAATCTAATCCTCAAAATATCTTTTATCATCTCCAAATTATAGATGGGGAAATAATTGTTATAACTTGCCCAAAGTCACAGAGCAGCCAGCAAGTGGTAGGTAGATCCAGGATTTGAACTCAAGCAGCGTAAAAGCAGAGCCCCTCACACACCATGCTACCTGGCCTTTCCCCAGATGTTGAGGGTGGAACAGGAAGGGAAACCAAAAAATAGCCTATATTTGGTTAACTGATCAAGATATGCAGCTCTAGTAGGGTCGTGGCTTTTTTTTTTTTTTTTAATGGAGTCTTGCTTTGTCGCCCAGCCTGGAGTGCTGGGTTCAAGCTATTCTCCTGCCTCAGTCTCCCGAGTAGCTGGGTTTACAGACGCGCACCACCACACCTAGCTAATTTTTGTATTTTTAGTACAGACTGGGTTTCACCATGCTGGCCAGGCTGGTCTCGAACTCCTGACCTAGTGATCTGCCTAACCCGGCCTCCCAAAATGCTGGGATTTCAGGCGTGAGCCACCATGCCTGGCGAAGGGGTTGTGGCTTTGCAGGCAGAAAGAACAGGTCGTCCACAGTCCCAAGGTAGAACAGGAAAAGGCTTTACCTGATTAAGGACCCCCAGAAATTGAACTTAAGTATATAGGAGCAGAGTGGTATGAGATGAGAGTGGCTTGGGGCCAGACCATGCAGAAAACCCTGGGAGAATTTTTGTTGTTTTTTGAGATGGAGTCTAGCTCTGTTGCCCAGACTGGAGTGCAGTGGCACGATCATGCTCAATGCAGCCTCCGCCTCTCAGTTTCAAACGATTCTCCTGCATTGGCCTCCCAGGTAGCTGGGATTATAGGCATGCACCACCATGACCGGCTAATTTTTGTATGTGTGAAAGAGTTTATATTTTGCGCTAAGAATGATGAAAAGCTATTCAAGTGTTGTTTATTTTATTTTTTTCTTTTTAACAGGGGAATGATAGGATCTGATGTAGGGTGTGGTTTCAGGTGTGATTGAGATGATTTTCGTGGAAAGAAGAAATTGAATAAAATTTACTAATAGGCCGGGTGCAGTGGCTCACGCCTGTAATCCCAGCATTTTGGGAGGCCGAGGCAGTTGGATCACGAGGTCAGGAGATCCAGACCATTCTGCCCAACATGGTGAAACCCCTTCTCTACTAAAAATACAAAAAATTAGCTGGACGTGGTGGTGCACCCCTGTAGTCCCAGCTACTTGGGAGGCTGAGGCAGGAGAATTGCTTGAACCCGGTGACAAAGCAGGACTCCATCTCAAAATATATATACATATATATATATATATATATGTATATACATTATATATATATATACATACACACACACACACACACACACACACACACACACATATAACCAATAAACCCTAGCAGCCAGCCATCATCTTGGAGCAATTCATAGAATCTTGTTGAAATCTGAGTGAGAGTATCAGTTTATTGTCCCTTCACCTCTCTCAAGAGTCTTCCAATCATGTCTCTAGTTGGAATCTGCCCTTTTTATAATCCCTTTGGATAGCTGAGAGATATTACCTTTCCTTTATGGCAATGAATGTGGTTAAGCTATGTGGGAAAATGTTTGAAAAGAGAAGTAAATCTCCTCAGTAAAGAGACTAATGCAGAAATTCAGCAGCAACCTAGCAGGGACTGGGGGTAGCTGTGCAGAATGTCTTTCCCCCCAAATCAGGGGATAAAAATGGGAAGGAATTATGAAAATTCTATTTGTGTTTGATTTAAGAGAAATTCGTCTCAATCTGAAGGTTTCACATTTCTGGCCAAATACCTCAATTCAATGAAGATGACAAACTTAGTTCATTTCAAATAGTGAAACTGTTCCCTGGGCTTAGAGGAGACATGTCTATTAAATATAGAGATGATAGAACAAAATAAACTGATGTATAACTGCTTTTGAGTTAAATTCAATATAATATATATTCGGTACTAAAAATGCTTATAATGTAGTTTAAAAATAATTGTTTCAATTTGGTTTATTATTGGGCCTGATTTTTTGAGAGAAATTAGTATGTCCTCTTTCTTTCTTTCTTAGTATGTCCTCTTTGTCCTCTTTCCTTCCTTCCTTCTTTCTTTCTTCTCCCTTCCTTCCTTTCCTTCTTTTCCTTACTTTTCTTTCTTTCTGTCTCCCTCCCTCCCTCTCTTTCCTCTCCCTCCCTCCCTCTCTTTCCTCTCTTTTTCTTTTCTTTCTTTCTTTTTTTTTTTTTTTTTTTTTGGGAGGTGGAGTCTCGCTCTGTCACCAGGCTGGAGTACAGTGGCACGATCTCGGCTCACTGCAACCTCCACCTCCTGGGTTCAAGCGATTCTCTTGCCTTAGTCTCCTAAGTAGCTGGGATTACAGGCATGCATCACCATGCCCAGCTAATTTTTGTATTTTTAATAGACATGGGGTTTCACCATGTTGGGCAGGATGGTCTTGATCTCTTGACCTTGTGATCTGCTCACTGTGACCTCCCAAAGTGCTGGAATTACAGGTGTGAGCTACCGTGCCCAGTGTCTCTTTTTCTTTCAACAAGATCTTGCTCTGTCACTCAGGCTAGAGTGCAGTGGCACAATCATAGCTTATGGGGCAGGCTCCAACTCCTAGGCTTAAGTGATCCTCCTGCCTCAGCCTGCCAAAGCATTAACATTACAGGTGTAAACCACCACACCTGGCCAATTTAAGGGGGTTTAGTCTGTCCAAATTTAATCTGTCAGAAGTTGAATAAAGGGACATAAAAGAATACTCACCAGCCGTCCAGATATTCTCATCTAGATTTGCCAGATACACCACAAAATCATGCTATTGTCCCAAACAGAGTTCATTCTCTTCTTCCAACCCTCCACTTCCTTTTCGTGTTCTCTGCCTTGAAGAATTACAATTCCTTGGGGCTGGGCATGGTGGCTCACACCTGTAATCCCAGCACTTTGGGAGGCCAAGGCAGAAACTCCATCTCTACTAAAAATACAAAAATTAGCTGGGCATGGTGGCAGGTACCTGTAGCCTCAGCTACTCGGGAGGCTGAGGCAGAATTGCTTGAACCCAGGAGGCGGAGATTGCAGTGAGCTGAGATTGCACCACTGCACTCCAGCCTGGCTACAGAATGAGACTATGCTGACACACACACACAAAAAGGACAATTCCTTAGCCCAGCTGTCCAGGACTTAGCACACATGCTTTCCTTTCTCAGCCACCTACTTTCTCATCTTCCATGCAGACCGTGCTTCCTATTGACCATCTATAAGTCTGCCTCTTCTCTCCAGCCCTTGCTTGTACTTGAGTTCTAGCTCCATCATTTACTTTCTGCATCATCCACTGCAGTAGGCTCCACCTCCATTCGAGCTTCCCTGTCTCCAGTGTTCCCTTCCCTATGAATTCCTCCACGCTGCTGTCATCTCCATTGGAAATCCTTAAATGGCTCTTCACTGCCACTAGGAATAAAACCAACCGCCGTGTATCTACCTCCTCCTCCCACTTCCCACATACCTATTATGATCCAATCAGGCTGAACTAACCACAGTTCCCTGAATGCTGTCCAGCACTGTCCCATACAACTTTCTGCAGTGATGGAAATGTTCTATATATCTGCTGTCCATTATGGTAGTCACATGTGTCTATTGAGCACTTGAAATGTGACTAGCACAACACAAGGCCTGGATCTTAAACTTTATTTACTTTTAAGTAATTTAAATTTAAATAGTCATTCTGGGCACGGTCGTGGTATGCTTATATCCCAGCTACTTGAGCAGAAGTCAAGGTGGGAGGATCCCTCAGGATCAGAAGTTTGAGGTTGCAGTGTGCTCTGATAGTGCCTGTGAATAGCTACTGCATTTCTAGCTGCAGCGACATAGCAAGACCCCATCTCTAAAGAAAAAAAAAACAATATAGCCAAGCATGGCAGAACAGGCTTGTAGCAGCCCTAGCTACTCAGGCAGCTGAGGCAGGAGGATCGCTTGAGCCCAGGAGTTCAAGGCTGCAGTGAGCTATGATGGCACCACTGCACTCCAGCCCGGGTGACAGAAGACCCTGCATCTACGATAAATAAATAGATAAAAATAAAAGTCACATGTGGCAGGTAGATACTACATTGAACTGCATGCAGTTTATATCCTTGCTTCTCAAAGTGTGGTCCATCAGCATGGGCATTCCCTGGACACTTGTAGAAATGCATAATCTCAGGCCTTATCCCAGATCTGCTGATTCATAATCTGCATTTCAACAAGATCCTCAGGTGATTTGTCTGCACATTAAAGTTTCAAGAGTCACAGCTCTAAGCTCTTGTTTCCTTGCCCTTGGATGTGCTGTTCTCTGTCTGGGCTGCCTGTCACCTGTTCTTTTTCCCTTAATTCCTACTTATCCCTCGAGACCCATCTACACTTACAACCTGCTGTTAATACAGTAATCTAGAGGGTAGGGGATGAAGGATATGGGGGAAAGGAGTGAGAGGGAAAGAGAAAATGTCCATGATAAAACCACTTTCGGCCAGGTGCGGTGGCTCACGCCTGTAATCCCAGCACTTTGGGAGACCAAGGCAGGTGGATCACGAGGTCAGGAGATTGAGACCATCCTGGCTAACATGGTGAAACCCGTCTCTACTAAAAATACAAAAAATTACCCAGGCGTGGTGGCGCGTGCCTGTAATCCAAACTACTCAGGAGGCTGAG